GAATTAAGACGAATAAACGATGTTCTGAATACAAATTAACACAATATTGAGCTTTGTTATTAAAATTCATATGTTCTTCATAAGTATTCGATAGTTAAAATACTTTTCAAATTACAATTATTATTTTATTGGATACTCTTAGCTTCGAAGTTACAAACTATATGAATAAGCAGAGAAAATTTTTACGTTCGCTGCTATAATGCAAAATTTGTGTATATTATCCGTATTCAGAAAATAAAATGAAATTGACGACATAAAATCATCGAGTTAATCATCTTCATCATCGGTTATCATGCAATCAATCATTACGTGAACTTAAAGATGTCATAGTGTAATTATGTCTTGATATTCATCATGAAGGTGCTGTAGTAATCATAAATAGTTAATTATTATAATAATATCATAAATAAATTAACTATTATGATATTATGAATTATAATATCATAAATAGTTAATTAATAACACGGTCATATAACACGGCATCATGCACACTCTATAGCACAAAATTACATGTCCTAAAATCTCTGCAATGCGCGATAATCTCTGAATATAATAAACAGCGTATAGACTAAACATCCATCAACAAATTCCTAATCAAGTTCAGAAAACATCAAAGGCTATTCTATGTATAAGACTAATTACAAGTTCTTGCGTTCACCAGTGCCTCGTAAAAAGTAGGAGTAGGAGTGGCGTCTCATACTCGCAGTAATGTAGGAGCAAGAGTAACGTTTCATACTCGTACAAAATTGGGAGTAAGAGTAACGTCTCATACTCGTACGCAAGTAGGAGAAGCAGTAACGCCATATTTTCATACTAAATTGAAAGTAGGAGTAGCGCCTCCTACTCCAACGTCAGTAGAAGCTGGAAAAACGCCTTCTACTGCTACGCTATCAAGAGTAGAAGTAATGCATTTTTCTCCAACGCCAGTAGGAAATAGTTGTAAGGTGCTCAGCAACTTAGAGTAGTACTTGAGCTGCTAGGGTAGAAATTTTAACCTTATTGTCATGTTGAACAGTCAAGCGTACAGAAATTCACCTTAGGGTACGCACACAGTGAAAGCAGGTTGCCAGCGTGCTGGTTACCTGCTTAGGCTGGCGCCTGAAACCATAGAATACAGAAACCTGTTCGTACAGGTTTTCACTGAGAACACTGACATTATTATCCTATGTTCATTCTTGTGGTAGGTTGGAGCAGGTTGCCAGCGTGCTGGTTACCTGCTCAGGCTGGCGCCTGGAACCATAGAATACAGAAGCCTGTTCGTACAGGTTTTCACTGAGAACACTTACATTATTATCCTATGTTCATTCTTGTGGCAGGTTGGAGCAGGTTGCCCGCGCGGGCAAACCTGCTTTCACTGTGTGCGTACCCTTATACAGCAGATTGCCTCAGTGAACTCGGTCATTAATTATACCTGCGTGTTGTAGGAGAATTGAGACGTATTAGCTGCAGAAATTGTACGATTTTCTGTGGAACACACCGAGCTACCGAAATTTGTAGAATTAAATGAAGCGAGTGCCAGAATAGTGAGAATTTTTTTAGTTTAATCGTCTACGAAACTTTTTTCAGAAAAACATTTTATATTAGTCGATGGATAACTATTTAAAGCTAATTACATTGTTAGAGATAACCTATCATTTAGTAATTCATATCATGAGAAAGTAAACAAGAGTCTTTAGGAGTCTACAGAAGTCATCTACAAGCTTATCCTATAGTGTCGATGCTCTCTATAAACCATAAATTATACGTATTTGGATCCAATAAAGGACCATGAATGCATAAAATACATAGACATGACTTAAAGAGTTTAGTTTGTTTATGCTTAGATTGTTAACGACAAAGGTGTTGAAAGTGAAACATTTTTAACGTACTTCTAATTTTCTTGATTGCCTTCCAAACAATTTCATATTAGTTTAGCTCAATTTAATTGCACGCTTATTTTACCTAAATTAAACTTATACATGCTGAATACAATTTTGAACTGAACTTTGACAATATTATTGAGAAATTCGCTACTGACGAGCAATGACATTTAAACCTCCGTTACTGAAGAGCTTAGCGTCATTTAATGCATTAAAATATTCGTTACTACTGAGCCTAGAGTTGCGTGTTGTCCGGGACGCACAGCCTGCAGTTGATATTTCATCAATAACTTGAGCACTCGAGTTCGTTCCTGACCTCTTCATGTGAACTCGTCAGACGTTAAAAGGGTCGTGTGGTGAGGGTTAGGTGTGAGAGGTAGATGTGAGGGGTAGATGTGAGGGTAGATGTGAGGGGAAGGTGTGAGGGTAGATGTGAGGGGAAGGATGTGAGGGGAAGGATGTGAGGGGAAGGATGTGAGGGTAAGGACGAGAGGGGAAGGATGTGAGGGGAGGATGTGAGAGTTAGATTATGAAGCATTCTAGATCTTCTGAGAGTCAGGCCATTATAAATGGAATACCTGCATGATGGATAAGTCATGATGAATGAGAGGAAAGTAGTTGAGAGTCAGGCCATTATAAATGTGAGACTTGAGGATATTATCATCGCGAGAAACATCGTAAGATACTCGTTGAAAAAAATGCAACCGGAGTGTCTGCAATTGTAGCTATGAACGCTTAATGATCATTGAATAAGATTGACTTTTTCAATTTTTTGCATAGAAATCGATGTTTAATCATTGCATGCGTTATCATGGTCTCATAAGACAGCTCATGCATCCATTCAGTCATAATATCATCTTAAACAGAAATATTACGTGTACTCGAAATGGAGTACATATACTCTCCATAACTCAAAAACCACCTTATAGAGAGAACATTTAAAACTCAACGTCCCACAATAAATTCTTTCACAATAAATTTTTTATTTGTTGTAAAATAAATTCTTTTCTCCAACTTTTACCATTCCTCTGAATTCCGATCCAGTAACACGTTTACCGCAACACTAACGCACTTATGCACTAGCAAACTCTAAGCATTCGTAGCACTGTTCCAGGTTCGTTTAAATTCGTGTCCGGAACACGAAAAAGTTCTCAAATATGATAGCTACTTCTCGGATAAATCGAATTTGAACAATAAACGGTCATTCTTTACCGCCTGCATTTCCTTATTTCGTAACTGTATTGTATTTCAAAACTATAGTTTGCGCATGAGTGAGCGGAAGCTCATATGAATAAATTGAATTGATGTTTAATCAGATGAATATTAATTTTAATGCCTTGCTACATCGCGGTATTGCAATTTATATGTTTTTCGTTTAAATTAATGGTACAAAGAACATTCATAAAGCAAATTTAAGAAATAAATGCCTTGATTTCATAAATTTTCCATGAAAGTTCATGGGACTTGTTTATTGCTTTAACTTTGATATTGTTTTGATTTCTCAGATGGTTTTCAGATTATCATTTGCGTGGCAAATTTTTCGTGCTTTGAACTAACTCTCTTCAGACTCGTTTTGTCTCCCTCAATAACTTACGGATGTTCTATTTACAACTTTTTAACAAACAAGTTCTTTAGAAAAAGCCCCGAGAAGAAGTTCAGTTTTCCATATACCGTATAAAGTTGATTTAAAGATTTAAAAAACGACGACACGCAAAATTCGTTCTATCATTCTAAAAATGTCATCCACGCACTGCAGAATTTCAGCGAAGTAGAGATGCGTTCGATCAAGATACACTTCGTAGTCGTGCAATGGTTTTGAATTCATTAAAGACGCTAAACGAAGCCACTTATATCATAAAATAAAATCAAATTATCTAGAAAAAATGCATTTTACTGACGACACATTATGTTTAGTTTAACTATTTCAACGCTACAGATCATTAACGAACATAACGATTACAGTGCTGGATTAAAAGCTATACGAAGACTGTGATAGACGGAGAGAGTCTGAGAGAACACGAGCTGTGAAGGCCGCAGCTTCAAGAGAGCTGTGGAAGCCTCACTCTACACCAAGACAAACTCAAAACTTCCACACAGCCGTATTTATGTTAACTGTTCTTATTTAGAAAGTTAATTAATAGAAAAATCGGAACACCAAACCCCGTCTTACCGTCAATAAAGAACCCGTAAAGTAACTAAATAAGACAAACTTTTTATAAATTCAATACATTTAACACAAAAGTGTTTTTAGCTATAAATCGAGAATTTTTTATGATGTTAGAATGATGTAGATTACATCCAGTTCATGGAGTTTGAAAGTTAATATCAAATGTGAGATTTAAAGAAATTTAGTGTACAGTGTTAGGCTTGGAAACTTATCTATACATGGTTTATATGAAAAACTATGAACGCTTGATGCTCGAAAATTGTCTGGACTTAAATGTTTGTCATGCATTCCACACCTTTAATATTAAACTTTATGTAAGCCGTTGATGGCAACTGGCGTTTGAGTTTAGATGTTATGAAGAGATCATTTCTCGAACGTGAACTCAGTTTTAATTTAAATTTGTGTGGCATCTCTTGTATGGTTATCGGGAAGGATAAACGTTCGGAGAAAATCGTTTGATAGACGAAAGAAAAAACAGAATAAAGGAGGCAAAGCGTACAGGCAAGTCGTTTTGTTTATGGTGAATTGACTGAATATCATTGCAGGCTTTCAAGTAAGAAACACGAATTACGAAGAAGATTCAAAATATGTATCACCATTGACAGATATTAATTTCTTAATATTTTTCATATGGAATCATTTCTCGGTTCCAATCATGACTCCATAATGCCTTTGGCAAGTCCGGAAATTAACATACATAATGAAGAAACCGTTTTAAAGAAATTACAAGTCCGTGCCGGTTCAGAAACGAATTTGTTCAGTTCGATTTGTTATATTTTAACCCGGTTAATTCATCTACTAACATCGCAGTCTCAGTATTTTCGGTGTTCTAAGCGCAATGCAAATACCAGTAAATAAATCAGTCAAGGTTATAAAACATTATTACTGCATTTTGTTGCCTCAGTAAATGCGGTTCACGTTCATGTCTCGCAAACCGAATTCATTAAAATTATAAATAAATAAATAAATATTTTATTCAGCTATGCCTCATAACATGAAAATTCAATGAACATACACTCATGAATGCACTGGCAGCTCCGTGACAGAGATCCGCTTGGAGTGTTTTCCATGAAAGTGATCTTCAAAATTAAATCGAAATAATTAGCATGTATGAACCTGGAACTGAATTTCATTTCACCCAGGATTCACCCAAAACCTTTTACAATGGAAACATGGAATTTGAAAATTATGCTAAAGACGCCACGTTTACGAACAAATTAATTGCCTTTTCTTTGACACCCACTACTGAAATTCAGGATAAATATCAATTAGTCATAAATTTTTTTAAAGCTTCCGTAAACTGGACATCTTTTTGGCCTTCTGGTCACGGAAATATGAAGATTGTACAGTAATTAGAAAATAATTATTGTTCAGATCTGCATGAAATAAATCCAGATGAATCAAAGTTATATTGTGCCACAAAAATAAATACTGGATTAAAATTTTCCGAGGATTTTTGTTCAGCCTTGAGGGACATCGCAGCTTGTGACGTTGGCCTAAGGAATAGTTGTTGCGATAAAAACTAAAATGTCCTCGAATCAGTTCACCTCATATCCAAAATAACGGCACATAGTCCAATAGTCTTCACCAAGCTCATGTCAGATGAACTAGACTATTATTGAGGCTATAATTGATCATTTGCCAAACTGTTGCTTCCTGAGTTTGTCTTACATCTTATACGGTCTTGTCTTCTTGGAAATACTCTGTGTGCCCGCCGCAGGATAGTATTACATTTTATACGGCCTCTTGATCTGGGCAATACTTGGAGATATTGCTGGATATTCTTCAGCAACGCTCATCTCATATTACGCTGTAGAAGTTCTTGCCTTGAACAAACAAATAATCTCAGCGTAGGTTTACCGCTGCATCTTTGGCTGGCAAAAAGAGAAGTAGAAACATAGTCGCGTTACGCTTGTATTCTGCCGCAGTCCACGATGGTGATTTCTTGGGTCGGGTGGTAAGCCTGGTCTCCGTCACCCAGCTGCGTCAGTCTGGACAAACAAGAAATGCTCTGTTATAATATATAAACTACTTTACGGCGTAACTGACCAATTTAGAGAAAATATGATTAATATTTTTAATTACGAATAAGGCCTCACCTGCCAGCAACATAGCTAAAAACCTGTTCATACATCGATAGATATATCACTGTTGATACTGACTTTACCTATCTATGTAGTCTCGGTTCCAAGTGACGTGCCAATTACTTACTCTGGTATATAAATTCCAATGTCATTCCTACCAGGACCCAGAACTCACCTCTCGACGAGGTCCAGGCCCTCGATGACGTAGGCGAAGACGTGCGTGTAGCTGTACTTCTTGACGTGCACGAAGAACTGCGATGCGACCATGAGAGACCCGCGCCCGCTGCTCGACACGCACACCATCTCGACCGCCCCGGCCTTAGCCTCCAGGTCTGCGCGGTGCGGTGAGCATAATTTTAATGATTATTTTATTCAGTTACACCTCAAAAATATACATTCAATGAAGATATCGAACATGGAGGGGGGTTTGTGGTAAAGGGGCGCGGTGAGGATAATTAAATGATTATTTTATTCAGCTACACCTCGTATGATAAAAATTCAATGAAGATATCGAACACGGAGGGGGGTTTTATGGTAAAGGGGAATATTTTATGGAGGAGTTCGTGGGGAAGTGTTAGGTCAAGAGGTTGAGTTAAGGTTGGGTTAGGTTACAAGCAGTGCTGAAGTTAAGGTCGGTTTCGGAGCAGCGAGAAGGAGAAGCTCAAGGTGCCGGGCATGTTGGGTGAGGGTAATATTACGGAGCAGTGCATGGGGGAGGGCGAGGGTAATATTATTGAGCAGTGCATGTAGGAGAGTTGTTATGCATTAGAGGGAGAGAGGCAACTTCCGAAACAATATGAGAGAATTATTGGTTTGTCTACCACGAAGCTAAGCCAGGCGCTACAATTCCAAATAATAATTACATCTTTAGTACATATTTAAGTAGCGAAGCTTGAATCTTAATATACGAGAGAAATTTAGGCATCGATAAATTATAAAATATATGAAAGCAGCGTAACTGAAGTTTGATTAACGGCACCCTTCTTCCATACGCATGGAAATGTTCGTGCCATCCCATGTATAGATGTAGCCACCAAAAAGCGAGCAGATCTCACCAGTTGTCTCGGCCTCTATCATATCCTCTTCCAGCGCTGACTTCCCGCCTTCTCCGTCGTTGGATACGAAGTCGCCGGCTTGAATCCACCAGCCGGGTAGGCACCTGAAGACCTTCGAGCCGCTGTAGCCGTAGCCGCGTTCACCCGTGCACAGCTTGCTGAAGTTGTCGCACAGCCGCGGCGCCTTGTCGGGGCGAAGCTCGATAACGATACGGCCGCGTTGCTGGAGGTGAAGATAGACCAAGTAAGATATGAGATAAGATATTATTTTAGGTGAGATAAGATGTTATTTTAAGTGCCCTTGATGCCCTTAAATTCCCTTTATGGCCCATCAGGATGCTCTCGATGGCCCACCTGGATGCCCTCGATGGCCCACCTGGATGCCCTCAATGGCGCTCCTGGATGCCCTCGATGGCCCACCTGGATGCCCTCAATGGCCCACTTGGATGCCCTCAATGGCCCACCTGAATGCCCTCAATGGCCCGGCTGGATGCCCTCAATGGCCCACCTGGATGCCCTCGATGGCCCACCTGGATGCCCTCGATGGCCCACCTGGATGTCCTCAATAGCCCACCAGGATGCCCTCAATGGCCCACCAGGATGCCCTCAATGGCCCACCTGGATGCCCTCGAAGGCCCACCTGGATGCCCTCGATGGCCCACCTGGATGCCCTCAATGGCCCACCTGGATGCCCTCGATGGCCCACCTGGATGCCCTCGATGGCCCACCTGGATGCTCTCAATGGCCCACCTGGATGCCCTCGAAGGCCCACCTGGATGCCCTCGATGGCCCACCTGGATGCCCTCGATGGCCCACCTGGATGCTCTCAATGGCTCACCTGGATGCCCTCGATGGCCCACCTGGATGCCCTCGATGGCCCACCTGGATGCCCTCAATGGCGCTCCTGGATGCCCTCGATGNAGGAGAGATAAGGAGAGATAAGGAGAGATAAGGAGAGATAAGGAGAGATAAGGAGAGATAAGGAGAGATTAGGAGAGATAAGGAGAGATAAGGAGAGATTAGGAGAGATAAGGGGAGATTAGGAGAGATAAGGAGAGATAAGGAGAGATTAGGAGAGATAAGGAGAGATAAGGAGGGATAAGGAGGGTGAAGAGGGGAGAAGGCTGTGGAGGGAAGGGGCGGTGAGAAGGGGAGGGACTGGGAGGGGAAGGTGAAACGAGTAACCGGTAGTGGGTAGAGGGCAGTGTGGAGGGGGTGGGGAGTAGTGGGGCATGAAGAGGGCCACACAAAAATGCCGCTTTCAAGATATAATCCATATAGGGAATGATTTTACAAATATGTGGACTTTTTAATTCATTTAAGTATATAATGAGCTTTATGTTTTCTTCCTTTGCTAGGAAATTAGCACAAATGTCAGTGAAAAAATATAGAAACATATTAAAACATATAAATATTAAATATTTTCTCTGAAACTATCTGACACGAGAAAATGCAGGGTAACGAGCTTCGTCTTTGTTTAATAATGAACGCCTTGACTGCCCTTACCTCCTCCTTCTTATCACTGGACAGTGCCTTATGCTGCGCCTTAAACTGCGCCTTGTCTCTCACCTCCTCCTTCTTATCACTAGACAGTGCCTTAATTAGGGGAGCGTCTAGGGTAAAATTTTGGATTTCGGCTTTTCCGGTTTTTAGTTTCATCTTAAAGCTGACATTCTGACCTATCCAGCGGTACCAAAACCATCTCTGTACGTTGATTTATGCGTTCACGACAGATCATGAAAGGGAGAGGGGTGGGGTAGTTCTTCAACAAACAGAATGGGATGAAATTCGCTGCGAGCACTTTAAATAGAGTGTCTGCTTGAAGTGCACTTTGGTTACCCGCCTGGCGTCGTATGAGGAGGTGTGCATGCAGTCGCTCCCTCCATCCTTGACTGGAATCAAGCTCCAATAACGTTTAGTTTCGTATCCTTGCTACATTGAGTGCCTATTCCGATGCGCGCGGGACTTTGACGGGCTCTACTGAAAAGTTAACTTATTGTCACTGCAAACCTATCTCCTCCTAGAGTTTTTAAGCTACAACAATGAGACATATACCATTCGATGCGCAACAAAATTATCTAGAACGTAACACGTGTCTCTTATACACATCT